AAAACAGGCTTTATAGCATCTTTGAGCCCTTCGAAAATGGTCTTCTAGGTTGATTCGAATTCAACCAATTCTTTTCCTTTGTAGAAGAAAACTTCCTCTTTCACCTCCATTTTGAATTAGCCTGAGATCATGCTCCAAACTCCAGATATAGGCCTTCAAAGTTGGTATCTCAAAACAATTTTCTGCCTTAGCCAAATTTAGGCAGTTTTCATGTTTTGAGGTATCTTTTTGATGGGCTTTGAAAGTGACCTTCCAGACATCTCCTTGAGCCCCAAAACAAACCAATGTAAAGATAATAACATTATCTTCAAAACAAGCTCTTGATCGCCCATTTTGATTGAGCCATTTGTGAGATACAAGCTTCCAAAGTAGGCTACCTGAAACTGTTTCAACACTTAGCCAAAAATCAGAATTCTTCAAGTTAGTTGAGATGACTTCTTTGGCAAGTAACTGTGAATTGTGGATTGATCCAATTGGGATCATATCATTGTTACTGGATCTCAACTCCCCCAGCTCTGACAACAATCCCCCACCACCATTTCCTCCACAAGCATCGGTGAACAGCCGCAGTCAGCGGCCTTCGCTTCTCCCTCGGAGGATTCCTCTAGACGGTGTCAAGGAAATCACCGCCAAAAATCCCGTCACCTTTGAATCCGCAGCTCAATCGTCGGATATCTCTGCCGCCGTCATTTTCCTTCTCTTGATTCGACTTCACCAACCCTTCGTTCATCTTTCCGATGCCACTTAATCCTCCCAACATGATTCCAATCAAGAGGGATTCAGGCGGCGCAGAAAGTAACTGAGAGGGCCGAAAGAGGCTGGGGAAGCGATGGAGGAAAGGGGCCGCTGCTGCCTGAGTGGAGGAGCCGCTAGTCGTCGGAGTTGCAAAGATGAAGAAGAGGAATAAGAATAGTTAGTGGATAAGTAATTTTTATTAAATAATTAATATGATAAACCACATTGACAAAGTTAGTGGAATGATGAGGTGGATAAATGAATATTTTTTTTAATTTTTTAATTTTCCATGTTATCTAGTAATGGTCAAACTTTATAATTGACTGCCATGTAGGAAAAATTTAATGGAGAGTAACGGTGGGTGACTAATGGTGAAACGATTCGTAAAGTTAGTGGCAAATAAGAAAGAAAAGTAATGCGGGTGGCAAATATAAAAGATTTGTGTAATTTGAGTGATTAAACATGTAATTTAGCCATTACAAAAGATTTGGCTAATTAATAGCATTTTAATAGGTTTGGATAATATAAAATAATCTAAAAAATGTTTGGATAAAAAATAGACATTACCCAAAACTAAAAATAGTATAGTAAACATTGGTGAATTTCTATTCAACTTTTGAAGTTTGTTCCTTTTCCGGGCCTAATCAGATTATTTAAAGCTATTATCATACTAAAAATATTTTATTTTTATTTTTCCACTGCATTTTAGTAATATTTTGACCAAAACATGTTAGTAAGTTAAATAATATATTAATAAAATAAAATAATATTCACGCTCTTTCGGCGCACTCAAATTATAATTCTCGAAGAATATACGCTCTTACGCTCCTGTTCTAGCTCCCTCTCTAGCTCTCACTCCGCGAATTGGTAAGCTAAATCCGTCGAGTCAATTCTGTAAGCAAATAGACAACTGGCAGAACTCACCTTCCACCACATATTGCCTTCCCTCACAAACACCACCACACTCAATTCCTACTTGGTCGTTACTCGTTAATTCCACATCTGACACACTTCGCCGCCATAGGAGTGCAACCTTCATCGCGTGATGAATACATTTAGTTGGAGTGTTTTTAGGAGCTTGAAGGAGGATAGCGGAAAGTAGCAGATAGAGAAACAAATGGGGTTAATTGCAAGGTTGGTCACTATGATTACTAAAAAAGTTTATGTTTGGTCACTCGAAATATTTAATTCCGTTCATAGTTACTAAAATTAATCAAGCGTATCATATTTGGTTACTCTCCGTCAGTTTCCGTTAACACTGTTAGTATTTTGCTGACGTGGCTAATAGAAGTGATGATTCACCCAAATTTAACAAAAAAAAAAAGAATAAAACCCAACCCACCACGTCAGAAAACTTTCCATGTCATCAATAACCCAACCTAACCACATTTTATCCGACCCTCTTCTTCAATCTTCCAGGAATTTCTCCCAAACCAAATCAAATACACCACCCACCACCAGCACTCTCTCCGCACCGTCGTTGCCACTGCCTCTCCGGCAACAAGAAAACCACAACCACCAGTCCTTTCCCTAACACTACACTGTCGATGCCATCCTCTAATCCACCACCACCAGTCCGTTCCTCTTCCTCTCCCAAGCCAGATTGAATGTCAGATCTGCAACCAGACTGTTCCTCTTCCTCAAATCCACTTCACCGGTTTCTGATTGCGTTCCAAAAATGCCACACAACTATGAAAACAACTCCTTATAGATTCCCCTACGCCAGAGCAGACCGGTCACAAGCGCCAGAGTGCAACACCAAACCGTCGGCGCTCAGTGCCATCGTATTTACTGCAGACTTGTGCTTCTCCATAGTTGTGAAGTGGCAGATTGGATTCATCAATTCCCTCAACAATGGATTGTTGATAGCCCTTTTTTGCTCCCCTCTAACTCTTTAATGGGCTACATGAAAGAAGAAGAAGGAACCACAGAAGGGACGTCAGAAGTTGAATCAGTGATGGAGGAAACTCCATAATTGATAAATATATGAACAATATAATGACTTTTTTTCATATATCTGAGCAAAAGCGAACTAAAACAATAGTACCAATAACCCTCAACCCACTTAATCGACCGGACCAACGAGCTAAATCGGGTTGACAACCTTTGATACTTTGAAATCTAGATATTCTAAAAGTTTTGGGTTCCAATTTTTATGATTGAGTCAAATGGATCAATAATTGTGAACTTTCAGAGAGTGGTTGAAATTCAAAAGTTGGTCTTCAAGTTTGTTTCGTGACAAACAAGTATTTGCTTTTAATTATTATTGGGTCGGAAGAGATAGCGAAACAGATGGAGGATAGGATTATGACTATTATTTATTGGGAGTTGCAGATGGAGAAGATAAGTCCTAAAAATGGGCTAAATTTAATTTGAGAATGCATATATACTATATATTACGAGGGCATGTTTGATGTGAAAATAATAGAGGGATAGATTTAAGATAAATGGATAATAGAGTAACAATTTATGCTATTAACTCCACATGAAAAGTCAAAGATCGTATTGGTAGAGTACAATTTATTGTTTTATAATGTTTGGATTTTCTTAACTTTTGTACGTGCATTAGTATCTAACACTTAACAACCCCACTTATTAATTATTATTCAAACAAGCCTATACACTAAGTTATAATAATTTATGTTTTCGTGTTCTTCCATATTTGAGATTTATAAGCATAAATTTTTCGTTATTCTCTTAATTTGTTTATATACCTTCAATTCCTACCATTCTAGATGACATATATTTCCTTCCAAATCCAAATTCAAATCCGATAATAAAAAGTTCACAAATTTCTCATAAGATATGAAAAAAAACGTACAACAGTAAACTAGGATGACTTGATAAAAAATACATATTAACTAATTATCGCCATTGCCATAATCAATAAATACCATAAAGATTACTTTGAAATAATGAATTAACTATTTTAGAAAACCTCAAATTATTTAAAAACATGAAGAAATTGATCATCATAATATGAAATAAAATTCATCCGACCAACGGGTCGGATAAATATTTTACATATAATTATAAATTAACCAATGTAAAGAATAAAGCAAAACTCATTTGGTCAAGGGCCGAGTAAAAGCTAGTAAGATGATATATTCAATAAGTAATATATTGATAGAATGAATTTCTAACAGAGGTTTACCATTTGCATTGGGGGTTTTAATAAAGAAGGAAGTTGAAGATGTGGTGCATCAATTTTTTCAGAAAGATCTTATCTTTGAACAGATTAATGCTACAGTGTGTACACTGGTGATGACTCGATATTTGTACATGTTTTTGTTCACTATTCTTGTATTGTGTGAGGCTCATTTCTCTTGTTTAAAATCGATTTCACGCTAAGTTGTTCTTGTTAGTGACATTTCAGGTCATGGTACCTGAATGAAGGCGTGAGTACGAGTTCAGGGTCGATTGAACGAAGTTAGGACGTTTGACGGAAAGTTGAGGAAATTACGCAACCATCTCATGATTTTACGCGGCTATACATGGTGGCTATGCACGGGTTGAGGCCGATTCTATGCGGCCGTGCATTGTGGTCGTACAACCGCTATTATGTGGTCAGGGTGGGCATGGTTTTCTCACTATCCCACCCGAACCCACCCGATTATACACATGCATATGTATTTAGTCTAGAATTAATCGTTATTTTTCTCTAACATATTTTATATATAGCATTTAAATATAATATTTCAAGAAATTGTGTTGTTTCAATTAATTTTCTTCATTCTAGTGAATTATTGTCGTACTTTTCCTCTTATGTAAAGAGTGAGAATACGTTTGAATGTTAACATATTGGTTGGAGTAATGATGAGAAATTATTACTCATGGATAACCGTGGATACGACTCGTGGCCATCCCTAGATGCATTGATGAAAAGTGCAGTACTAAATAGCTAAATTTCATATTTCCTAGGGGCTAAATTACATGTTTAGTCACGCGAATTATATAAATCTTTTATGTTTGCCACTCGAATTACTTTTCTTTCTTATTCGCCACTAACTTTACGAATCGTTTCACCGCTAGTCACGACATGTCAATTAAAAATTAAAAAAAAATAGACAAAAAGCAACGAGAAGAATTGGCCCGCCATATTAAAATCAACCAATGAAATAAAAAAGTAAACATTAAAAAATAATAAAAATCCTTCGTCATCTCCCCTGCCTCCCCGCCGCCATCGCCAGAGCATCCCCTTCCTCACCGCCCTTGCAGCCTCACCCACTCCTTCGCCCCCACCGCCACCTCCGTCAGAAGCTTCTTGTGTAAAACTGCTACGCGAACATTAGCCACATCACCATCGCCTTCCCGCTGCGACCCCTTCATACATTGAGTATTTGAGTTCGCACCCCGCAGTGGGTCACGAAACCTCCAACGCGGACCGCAGGTGCTCCAGGATCGTAACTTGCAACGCCCATCCCCTCACAATCATCCCTTTCCCTCACAATCTGGTCTCGAATCCTTGCAGCGGCCATTCTTTCTCGTCCCTCTCGTCCCTCTCGAAGCTTCCAATTAGATCTAATCTCCCTCAGTTGCTCTGCCCTGAACGTCGACATGCTCCCAAATCAAATGTAAATGCCGAACCGGGTCCTTTATAAGCGATCCATTTCAGGCACTCTAAAGCTTGTTTCCCCCTTTCTGATTCCTTTTCGTTGTTGTTGTTGCAAAGAGACAGGGGACCACTATGCCAAGCTCGTCTCCTGAGAGAGGCTTTGCAGTAATCAGCGTAATCCCTCTCAAGCTCAAAGAAGATGTTGGCGATCACGTCGTAGCTTTTTAGTTCCGACTCCCTGACCGATTTCATCAACTTTCCGAACCTCGATTCCCCATCCTTTCTCGCGTACTCCGGCAGCTGCTTCCAGGTCATCAAAATTTCTTCGAGGAGGTTTGGGATCAAGAACGGCTCCGAATCGGACGAGACCCTTTTGTAAGGCTCGTGCATCCGGATCGTCTCGCGTAGGCAGAGTGTGAGCAAAAGTAGTGTCGTGAAAGACAAGTATGGGGATTCCGAATTTGCCCATAGAGTTGGTGGACTAGAGGAAGAATATGTCGGCGACGTGGCATTCCGATCCGGAAGCTTTGCGAAGGTCTTCGAAGGGCTGGTGGAGTGAGGCGCTGGCGAAGAAGAACTGACATGTCATTATTTTATTGGGTGTTTTAATATGGTGGGCCCACTTCTCCCTGCTTTGTCTAGTTTTTTTTTAATTGACATGTTCTTAAAGTTAACGGTCCAGTCAACAGTTTCGTTTGCCACGTCATCAAAAAATTGAAGGAGTTAACGGATACTAAATGTCTGTGACTAACGGTGAAATAATTCGTAAAGTTAGTGGTGAATAAGGAAGACAAGTAATTTGAGTGGCAAATGCGAAAGATTTATGTAATTTGAGTGACCAAACGTGTAATTTAGCCTTTTCCTAAGTGTAAGCCACTTGTTAATTGTTATCACGCATCTATGCTTCGTTGATAATCTTTTGGTATTTTCTAATGGCTCTATCAAAGTAGTGGTTGACACGACCCGATCCTTTTTGTAAAACCAAACCACAACTCAAACCACAAACCGGTTACTCCGGAGCAACCCAAACAACTTTTTAAAATAAATAAACCGACAATATTTAAGGATTTCAAACAAAAAGACCGAACAATTGGGAAAATGACAATCCCAATACTTAAAATGAAAGAACTCAGGATCTCCAGTTTACACTTCTAACCATGTAACAAAGAAATTAAACTATTCTAGCTCTGACTCTTCACGAGTTCCTTGACTTCTCATCAACGCTGGTGCAGTTGCTCGCATCACCTTACCTCTTCTTGCAGTCCGCCTCTGCTAACCCTTCCTCGACCTGGTGAGTGAGAAGGGGTCAGTCTCGTCGTTACTTCCTAAGGTCTTTGCCCTAGGCAAACTCCTTACTAAACACATTATTAGGGGAATGCCTTCCTTAGACGAAAGTCGTTCTCACTTTCATCCTTTACCTTTACTATAAACAGTCTATAAGAGATCTCTACTCCTATCTTATCTTTATAATTCCCTTACTTATATTCTCAAACCAAAGACACCAACACAAGGGACCACCGCGTTACGTCTCGCTGTCCGGTGTCCCTACCCTAGTATGCCAACCGCGTTACGTCTCGTCGTTCGGTTGCACACCCAAACTCGGCAATGGCACTGCGTTATGTCTCGCCGTCCAGTCCATGCCCGTCAACTACTGCGTTACGTCTCGCCGTCCAGTAGTGACCCCAACATACTCGATCAACTGTTGCGTTACGTCACGCCGTCCAGTAGTGACCCGACCATCTACCGCATCCAGTAGTGGCCCAACCACACGTGGGTTCCTCATACCATCCATCCATACATCATCACATACATTCATACATAGCACAACGCGTGCCTCCACCCTTACAGACGGTGGGATGCCTCACACACATATCGCGCATACTAGAAAAATTAACTAAATAATAACCTCAAATGAAAAGCGTAAACTAAAAAGACCTCGACAAAGATTTTACCCCCTTTACACTCACCTCGAAAAGATGAGTCCTCAATTCCTTCCTCGAAGAAACCCCTCCTTAGCCGGATTATCTTGGGGAAACCTATTAATAAGAAATTCATACTCTAAGACAACCTTTCTCGATTAAAAAGCCTCCTTTTGAATCACTAGGACATCCTCTTCTCAAACTCCAGTCCTTGAACCTAATTCCAATGGTCCTTTAACCCACTTTAAAATTTTGTACAATTAATCCCTTAAAAAACGACCATTTTTCTTAATTATTTTAGTCTTGGATGAAATTTCCACCTAACTAAAACCTTCTTAAAAATTTGGATAATAATTATCCCATGTCAAATCATGAACCCCTATACCCTGGAAAATTATCAAACCCTTATAACTCCTCGTAAATATTTTTATTTAATTAAAATAAATATTCAAACAATTTCTAAAAATATAATACATCTTCAACAATCTCCAAATTAAATTACAATCGTCTCCTAGATCTTCCTCAATTTATAAAATTGTTAGATTCAGGAAAAAATCCTTCATAGGGGCTCAAAAAAATTTATAACATCTAAAAACACGTTTCTGGAAATTCCCAACAGCTTTAGTGACCACCCAAATACTGTCACTAAAAGCCTGAACGCCTGTTGCTAAAAACCCAGAATTGCACCCTCACGAAAAATCACCAAATCGATCGATCTAACTCAAAGAGATCGAGTTCCCTTACCTCTAGAACGTGCCTAGGCCTAGGTTGGATGACCCGGGACGTTGATCTCCTTGTTGATCGAACCCTCAACGTCACCGCTAGAAACACGAAAGGGATGGGATCGGGATCGGCTGCGGCTGCCGACTTCTTCTTTCTTCCTCTCCTTTTTCCCAACTCGCGCGGGTTGGGGATTGGCGGCGGTTGATTCTTTTTCCCCGGGGAAATTGAGAGGGCGTCGGGGGTTTGGGGAATCGTACGAGAGGGACGAGGGTTTGGGGTTTTCTCACTACTGTGGGACAAAGTCAAAAGTGGGGCGGGTTTAATTGAAAGGGGTTTTTGCTGGGGGAGGGTTTTAATTGAAAGGAGGGCCGCCGGCCCTTCTGTGGCGCCCAAATATATATATGGTGACTTCTACGGTGCCCAGGGCAAAATCCAGGTACGGGTACCTTGGTCGATCTTAACCATTCGTTTTCAATCTCCACGGTGCACGTTTGTTAAACCTTCCTGCGCCACTAATTAACTAAACAAATTACAAAAAGGCTCCTGTCGCATTAAGTTTTTTTTCATCTTAGTCCAACTAACTTGCCCGATTAAATTAAATGGATTAAGACTGCAAACCCAATTGGGTAGACCCACTGCCGCCCTAACCAATTTCCAGTCTCCCTAACCAATTACACGATCCCTCTCTCGTCTTGGAGGGACGCCCCTTCACAGTTCCAAGAGAAGCTCCCCATCCAATTTGAACTCCCTAACATAATCATCTTTTTGAATCCCAATTACTTGCATCCACATTCGACGTAGATTGAATTTCCCAATTTATTTTGTCTTGTTTCTTCTTTGCCATTTTATTTCCCCTCGCCTATCTCTTTCTAACACGATTACGGCGACCATGTCTATTATTGTGTTCATCAAACTCTTCATTTGCAAAAGAACCCTTGAAAGAGGTTTGCTAACCCTAGGGTTCATGTCGATAGTACTTTGTCATCTTGTCTTAGCGTTATTGTGATTTTCTCGAACCTTATATCTCTCGGTGAAATTTAGGTTTCCTGATATGTAGTGTTCGTCTCGCCCAGAGGATTGAGGAAGAAGATGAAGAACACATAATTTGATTCGAATCGGATGGAGAGGTCTCCTTAGTTTGTGTTTATGTATTAACGGTGCGTTTAGGAGTAATTCTAGTTGGACTGGGTCTGATCATTGATTTTTGCAGGCTTTTAAATAACATTCAAGCGTGGGCTTGTACATGACTCATGCAATATTCAAAAGTGGGTCTGGAACGTGCGAACCCATTTGTTTTCTCCTGCCGTATCAATTCGTGCGCCAACCCTAGTTTAACTAGCTTTACTTACCCTAGTTTAACCTACACGAGTTAACATCATCATTACTAAATATCTTTTGAAATCTTCTAACTCTTGACATTCCAGACTCAACCGTCTCCATCACACTCACGTCTCCACACTCAACCCCCACGATCACTTTTTCTTACACCTACATTCTCTCTTTCCTCCATCTTCACCTTCCCTTGTTCCTTCTTCCTCCATAATCCATGGCAAACAAAGGTAAATCGTTTGCGGAAATGGGGATACTATCTCTATCAAACGAAGACTGCCGATCCACCGCAAGTCTCGGTGACTATCTTTCATTTACAAGCAAGACAACAATTGTGGCCGAGTACGAGTTCATGCACCTAAGTCCTTTCCCTCAAGAAGTGAAGAAGTTAATAAAAAATCTTGGCTGGGAAAATTTCTTTGATCTCCGGAGTCGAGGAAGTACCAGTTACTGCCCGCATGTGGTGAGGAAGTTCTACCACAATTTAGAGCTGTCTGGTCCCTGTGATTCTCATCTCGTGTCGATCTTCCTGGGACATAGAGTCTGCTTCCAGCCTCATCAATTTGCTGAGATCCTCGACCTCCCCGCCGCACGACACCCCATTGATAGAAGAAGCGATCTGGGGCGGTGTACGATTTTGAGTTTGAAGTTGAACTGGCGAAACTGACGAAGGGGCGCATCCAGGCTTCTTTCCTCCCAGATCCTCTTCGATTCCTCCACTGGATGATCATCAACTGCTTCATGCCAAGGTACCGTGGTCATTCGATTATTCGTAAACTTAACCTGTTTATCCTTGTGCAAGCTCAAAGAGGTGTTCCTGTTAACCTCGCATCTCTCATGTGCCTGAACATGGTTGAGGCTGCTCCTAGAGGGGAAAACTGGTACACTGCCTTTCCATATGCCACCTTCGTGACCACCTTTCTTGAAAGGGTTGGGATGGATATGGGGGTTTATGTTAAGGAGGACCAGTGCGCCTATTTTCCAGTGTACCGTATCGCCGAATTGACCAATACTTTTATTGACCTTCGGCATACGGAGCATGAAGAGACCCCTGAGGCATCCTCAAGCAAACGTCCTCGGCTTACATGAGAGTCGATTGATACAGGGCGGGGTGGAGCGTTGGAGCAGCAAAGGGGCCAGCAATGGATGTCTTTTGTTAAGAAGTTTACTAAGGCTTTGTTGGTTTTTTTTTCCAGTCTTTTTCTCCAGCACTCAAAACTGTCAGGTACTGCGGGGAGCCAGTATATCATCTGACTAGGAAAGTCTCCCATTTTTTTAATTGTCCAGACAAATATTTTTCTATGCATGCAGTATTTTGTGAATTTGCCATGGCTAATTTCCCTAAGATAGGTGACGAGATGCAGTAATGGTCATCTCCAATGGTGCAAAGACTTGCAAGATGATGTGGCAAGGAGGTGAAATTGAATCCTACACTTGCTATGATGTGAGAAGCTATTGCAAGGGTGCAAATTTGCTTGCAATTGAAATTGGCCCACGAGTGGGGACTATTGATGAAATTGCAATGTTTTCTCAA